AAGACAAAGTTGCGATCAATAGGGTCTTTTTTTGCACTTCTAAATGCTGAACAAGTCACATATGGTTTTCCTTCATCCTTCATTCTATCTTTTTTCCTTGTGCCTATTTTTTTAGACGGAAGATACAAAATTGTTATAGAATACGATGTGTAGGAACGCTAAAAATGAACGAAAAAAAGCGATACAGGACTTGCATTTTACTTCCATAATAGACAAATAGTAGCAAACACAAAACTGTTTATTTTATACTTACCAAAATTTTAGACAACAACAGTATTTTAAAATCGTATGGATTTTTTTTGTACAGAACCCGGGTTCATCAACACCAATCGACTCTGAGAGACAGCTGACAATCAAAAAAAAACCTAGAGTTTTTAACTATTCAGGATTTTTATGAACTTAATCTGCCAGACAATGGTGACAACAAAAATAATGACGGTGATGATAACTCTAAAATTTTTTAAATTACTTTTTTCCTCACAAATATCTGTTCAAATTTTTACCAAGCCGGAAAAAAATGTTTTCCTGTTTCAGATGGGACAAAAGATAACGGTATGAACAAAGCAATGCTAATGACAATAAAATGGTGAACGTTATTGTGGAAGCTAAAATACTCGACAGATGAAACATAGTTCCGTAAATTAGAGTAAACAAAAAAAATCACAATTTTAGCTTAGAGATCCGTCCGACGAAATTCCGAACGGTGAAACGGAGGAGCGCAGTTGTTTGCATCTCGTTTTTTAAAAGCTTTTCGTTTTTCTTTTTCATCCTAACAATTGGTATTCCGCAAAATTTTGTTGAAATTTATATTGCTAAACGTGACGTAGTGGTCGATAGTCCATCTCAACAAACATCTTCCACATGCCTGTTTAGCAGAATACAAAGAAGACCTATTGGCGGTGGTGGTGTTGATGGTGATGGTGCTGTTGCTGTTGCAGCATCGGAACCTCTGCCTTAGAACTGCTGCCGATAAAAAGCTGTTAAGCTCTCAGCATAAATGCAATCTTTTAAAAATGAACAATGAATAACAGCATTCAATTTCATTACTGCAGTAATTTATCGAAATTATTGTTGTTATTTCTTCGCTTTGACGACTTCTATTTTTTAGGTTTAAACGAATTGTTTTTGGTAAATATTAAAAGGAAAACAAATAAATGGCAACAACAGTTATCTATGTTCCTGATACAAACTAATCACTTATTCAACCAATAATAATCACCATTTTATTGTAATACTTCTTTCTGTTGTTTTTGGTGTTTTTTTAATTATTAATATTGTTGTTGTCGTTGTTGCTGGAAAAAATATATTGAAAAATTTTCTTCCATACAAATTGTTAACGACGGGGTGGAAAACCAAGTCAAAAAAAAAAAAAAAAAAGATTATTTCATTTTATAATACG